TGCGCCACGACAATCCACGACGGGGGGGGGGATGCTGCTCCAGTCCCCTGGTTCCCACAGCAGCAGCGGGAGCGCCCTGCCTGGCGGGCCCCACGGAGCAGCCGCGCACGCTCCCCCTTTGTTACCAGCCCCTACAGATGGTGCCCGGCTTGGGTCTCGGGGGGAGGGGAGGGAGTGTAAAAGGGGAGGGGGGGCAGCCAATCAGGACCCGGCCCATCAGCTGACCTGCTTTGCTTACACCAGGTGCACGCTGGCTGCAGGCAGCACAAAGCCCGGCGGAGGAGGAGGGAAGACGGCGGCAGCAGCAACGGAGAAGGAGGAGAAGAAGGAGAAGGAGAGGAGAGGAGAGGAGAGGAAGACCGAGGGACTGTCTGGCTGAGCAGCAGGGTGTGGAGCGGACACCGCAGCCAGCATCGCTTAGGGCTTGGCCGAGGCTTTGAGATTTTTTTTTCCTCTACAAATTGTATCGCGCTCCCCGCACGCCCCGGGGGCGGGGGGGCTGGACCCTGAACCAAAAAAATCCCAGCCACCCCCCCACCCCCTTTCCGTGAACGGGGCACCTCCTGCCCAGGGGTAGCGGCTGGTGGATGGGCAGCCAGCCTGCTCCCAGCGTGCGGCTAGGGGCAGGAGTCGGGGCTTAGCATCCGCCGCCCCGCACCCTCTGGGTAAGTGTTTTCTCCTTGGCAGGGGAGGGCAGGCTCGCTCGGAGCTGCAGTGGGGAGGGGAGGGCTGGCATCCAGCAGTGGGGGCTGCCAGTGCTGACCTGAGGGATGGGGGGGGGGTCAATTTATGACGAAACCTATGTTAAGTGGCCACCCCGGGGACAATCGCAAAGACCGCCTTTGTCTCGACCGCAAAATCGCCCTGAAAACCTTGAGGCTACTTTAAAGCGGTCACCCACAGCCCAGGCTGACGCAGCCGGCAAAGGGTTAAGGTTCATAATGGGAATATAATAAACGTCCCCTACCCCCATCATCCCCCCCCCCGCACTACCCCCCCTCAGGCTGTGATCTCCACACGTGCTAATAGGTGTGGTGGTTCCAAGCGATCTCTGCTTCTCTCCATCCTGCTAGAGGACCAGCAGGGAGCTGCTGCTGCTGCCAACTCTATGCCAGACAGTCAGACACAGTGAGGAAAGTTTGCCAGGCAGTGTCCTTTGTGCTGGGAGGGATGTGGGGTAGGGGCGAGGGAGGATGGTGACAGCAGGAGCAAGGGGTTCCCTGTCTTCCAAGGAAATCCCAGTCAACCGGCTTTTCTGGTTAGGGATTCAGCCTCGAGGTTCTGGTCCTTTATAGAAGCAAGAGCCCTCCAGTGAAAAGCTGGCTACGGCCAGGTCTGCCCTGTACATGGCTAGGGTATTGTTTGTCGCCACCAAGAAAGTTACCAAGGGTAGTAAGATTACTGCATGAATAGTGATTTCATAGTGCATTAGGATAATCCAGGGGGACGGAGCTGTTTCTAAGTTTCAAACCCACAAGGGTAAACAAGAAAATGGATAAGATGGTCTTTAAGGAATGTTGCCTGCCATTCAGGTGGGCTTTTGGTGTCCCCCCTACTCATTTTTAAGGCACTTTGCTTTCCTCTAGGCTACTCCAGTTTTGCTTTTGTTTTATGTAATCATTTTTACTAGTTTCCACCACCTACGTCATGTACTTGTCTAGTGCATTTATCTCACTGGTAAACTACTGAAATAAAACTGACTAAAAGTCATGTATGAAAAAGTAGAGGAATGAAGTTTGATCACTTTATGTATGGAGTGAAACTGGTGCTGATTGTCTAGCAGGGGCATGTATGTCTCTAAATCTCTGATTTGCATGCAAATGTGAGTGTATCCTGGCAGATGTCTTGCCTCCTCCATTCACATGAAGGAATTTGAAACGACAAGGAGTCTTCAGTTTAACAATAGACCTTCAGAAAATGGAATAAAGGCTCAGTGTAAGTTTTTTTCTGTTTGGGAATTGTATGAATGGCTGTCACTTTTATCTGAAAGCCAAATTCTTTGATTGTTGTTTACAATGAAATATTGGAGTCATGACTGCTCCATACCTGTATTAACTTGTTTTGGTAATATTTAAAAGTCTGAGTGGATGAGATGGATGGTAGAGGTAGGGAAGGAGAGTATGATTTGCAATTTCAGCAGTAGCAGTTTACTCCTATATAGAGATTTTTCTGTACCATTATATTTTAAAAAACACTTCAAGTGACACAATTTTGCCCATGTGTACAATTTTCTAATATTGCACATCACAAACTCAGCAGATGAAAATGCACTAAATCTCACTGGCCTCAAATAATTTAGGGCCAGATCCTGATCTGGTGTAAATTGAAGCCAATGGTGTATGCAGATTTGCACCAGCTGAGAATCTGCCCTTTTTTAATATATATATATATATATATATATACCGGGTATATGCAAGGCTGATTTAAAATAAAGTACCGCACACATTCCCCTTTCACATCATTATAACTTAATGTAACAATGCAGGATGCTGAAAATCAATAACCTGATTCAAACAGCCACAAACCAAGGACTTTTCTTGTTTTCTCCAGTATTAGCTTGATAGACAGCACTCTGTGCACTGTTCACCTCCCAGCATTGTGAAGCCCAGTAGGACAAAGGGCTTGCAGCATGAGCTGCACGTGAGTCTGGGTGAATATACCTACTAACATGCCAAGAACCAGTTGCCTCTCCTTTTGTTGGAGTCTCATAGGCTGTTCTCAAGAGTAAAAGGGCCCATTCACTGAAAGGGGTTAACCCCTGCATTCTAAAACTTCATGGACGGAGGCATCTAAAGAGAGAGAGAGCATGCATTGTATTCGAGTGTTGGATGTTTTGAGGAGGAATACAACAGATGTTAGTCTGCTATTTTACATGTTTCCTTAAGTTATTTAGTGCTGGTTCAATGCATTTTTCCCACTAGGCAATAGGGGAAAATGTAACCATAAAACTTAAATTAAAAAATGTTATAGTCGAAAGACGATACAGATGACCCAACTAAGCAGTTATCATTTTTGCCTTAATGCTGCACAGTATTTACCAAGTTACAAATCCTAGCATTAAAGCTCTTCTGTGAATGTTTGTCTTTCTTCCTTATGGACATTTCTAAATGAGACTATAAACCTTTTATTGGAAAGTAA